TGGGGCTCAGAGGACAAGAAGGAGAATGATAGTAGACAGAACCAGAAGGACAGTGGAGTTGGAGTCAACAGACTACGAAGGGCCTTAGAGACAATGGTAAGGATTTTGAACTTGAATTTAAGTGAGATGGAAAGCCACAGAGGGTTTCTGAGATGAAGAAATGATGTGATTTATATTTTTAAAAAATCACTCTGAGCCCTGTATGGAAAACAGAATGTGTGTGCGTGTGTGTGTGTGCATGTGTGTGTGTACGCGCTTCCCCCCAACTCTCTGTTTGCTCTTCACCAACAGGGACCTCACTGTAAATCCCTCAACATGCACTGACCTCCTGCACCTGGGCCCACTCCCTCGACCTGCAGGGCTCTGGGACCAGCTTCTCTGGCCCCGCCTTCGGATCTCCATGCAAAGGCTACACCCCAGGGACAGTTACCTGATAAAGGACCCGGGTGCTCGACTCCGCAGCTACTCTCTACACTCGTCTAGTTTAAGTATTGATTTCGATGGCTCTTCCCCATGAGACTCGGAGCTGCCTACAGGAAAGACCCCATCTTTCCCTTCTGCAGTTCTCAGACTCAATTACGATGCCTGGCATACGGTGTCTGGTCCTCAGTAAACATTTGACGCCCGCATAAACAAGTAAACTAACACACTCCTAGAAGGGAATTCTACCCAATTTCAAGCCAAAGCATCAAAGAATTCCCTTTGCTCATTCACAAGGCCAGAGGTGGAAGGCACTAAGCCCACGACTTCCTCGAACCGGCTCGCTTACGTGGGCCTGAGCAGGGGCAGAGGGAGCCGTAACGGGGAAGGGGACAGAGGTGGGAGCGCCTGAGACAGGACACAGCATGAAGCCTGGAATCAAGGCCGGTGGCTGCGGGCAGCTGAGGACCCAGTGGGGCTTTTGTCGGACCGGTCACTCTGCTGTACGTCACTACGGCAAGGAGGGTCGGTCCGTCGGGCAGCGCGGGGGCCTTCGGAACAGTGCAGGGCGACAAGCACCCCGACAAGAAGAGCTGCGCAGGAGGGCGCAGACCCCGGGGCCATGGCGGGCGAGAACTGAAGTGCAGGGTGTGGGGTGCGCAGAAAGGCCACGGGAGCCTGTCCAGGGGCGCCGGGGGATCTTCACTGCTTAGTGGGTGAAGCAGAAGGAAGGGGCGTCAGGGAAACAGTAATGATTTCCCGCGTGTGCTGCCGGCAGGTGGGTGCAGAACAGCCAGGTGGGTTGTCTAATAAGGAGGAAATACAGGTCTAGACCACCAGAGAACCGCGGTGTGCAATTCAGTGGGAAAATAAAGATTCCAGAGCGAGAAACAGCAGTGGGTCCAAAACTGTAGATAGCGGCCGAGAAAGGTCAGAGGATGGGAAAGGCAGAGAGGCGAGGATGGGGTTCTGAGGGCCCTGAAGGAGCCCACAGAGGGGGACAGGGCACCGAGGGTCCGGCTTGAGGGCAGCTCTGTGGGAACATGGTTTACGACCTTAGGTCCAACGCCACTGCGGCAGAGCCAGAGGAGAGAAAACAAAGTCCAACGAAATCGGCTTCATCTTCAAAGACATGCTCAAATATGATACACACGGCAAACACTCAAACGCCACTGACCCAAACTCGGTCACATGGACGCACCTACATGCAAGGGAGTGTGGGAAATGTCGTCTATCGCCGCCTGGTGTGTATGTGCCCAGGTAAAACGTGCAGGAGTCTAACACAGGAGGGAAGAGGGGCAGAGGGAGACTAAGAGACACAATTCGATTTTCCGATTGTGTTACGTTCTTTGCTGATACCTATCTCACCAAAGCAAAGAGAACAGAAGAAAACAAAAAGAGGTAATTCTAACCCTAGAGCTTCAAGTAAAGGGCGGGTGTGGGCGGGATGCGGGTGCAGGGGTGGCTTCGTGGGGCTGCGGCTGGGAGGGCATGAGGGGCACCGGCGGGGCCACAGGAGGGAGACGCCAGCCTCTGCCACTCGCCGGGAGCGGTCCCCACCGCCTGCACCCATCTCCCTTCACACATCACCGCGGGGCTCATGAGGTTCCGTACGTGCGATGCCAGCACAGGGCCTCGCACCTAGTGAGGACTCAAACTGGTTCTCACTCTGCTCCTTTTCTTCCTGTTTTTAGAGGGCAGAGGACATGCCAAGAAAGGAAAAGAAGAAAGAAGGTGGCTGACACCACAAAACTGTGCCGACTTTGCAACGTGGCCCGCGACTCTGATGTCTAAGCTTAAAGGGAGATCGCGCCGCCGGGCCAGGTGGACACCAGTGCCTGCTGCCCGGTCCCGAGAGGCAGCTTCAGGCAGGGAAGCGTCGTGAAGGTTCCTCTCGAGCAGCCCTGCAGGCAGCCGGTTCCCAACACCAGCAGCTGCTGGCTGCCTGCAATGCCTTGCAAGGGAAGTTTCCTGTCTCATCAGAATGACAAGGACAGCAAAGGCATGCCTTTAAAGGTCAGGTAATGCTCTATTTATAAGCAACTGCACCTGTTCCCGTGACCACCTGTGCCTGAAAACCCCGGCGGCTCCACCCACTTACCGAAACACAACCCCAGCAGCCTCAGCACCTGAGATGAGATGTCTCTTCTCAGGCTTTCATCCTTCACTGTACAAGTGTCACTCTTGTGTCTTACAAAACCCTAGGGGCTTGTCCCCCGGGCTGCCGACTTAACCATTAGGCAGAAGTTACCTGGCATGTCCACCAGAACAGATCGTTACCTGAGAGGCTGCGAGGAGGGAAACCTGCCTCCTCTCTATCTCCTTTCCAGGCTCGACCAACTGTGTGGCCAGAGTGAACGATGCAGCAAAGCAGCCGCGAGGCCTCCACGCTGCCTTGAGCTGGGCCAGTAACAACGTGTCCAGGTGAACAGTACCCGGTAGCAACCACACACCCTGGGACCACGGGCAAAAAGCGAAGCTGGCGAGAAGAGAAACCTCTGTTGGTTAGTTTTCAAGGCATTAAGTGTGAACACAGCACTGCTGTTATTTTGATCACAACTATATTTGTGTTCATTTATTCAAGTGAAAGTATCTAGGGGAGAATTTCTAACTTCAGTTCTGGTCTAAAACTCAATGTCATTTCCCCAGTGAGAGAAGAAAAAGAAGAAATGGTAAGAAAATAAACATCCTGTGTCTGTGCCAAGCTTTAACGAGGGATTTCCAATCAGAAATCAAAGCACCATTTCTTTTCCTCTACCAAAAATTCTAGCTGAGGAGAAAGAAAATATTTGAAACAAAGGGGAGAGAGAGAATTTGCTACACACAGGCCTAATGTTTTGAAAACAAATGCACAGAAATAACCTGAACCGAGTTGGATTTAAGTAACAACAAAAGAAAAGACAGAGTGTTATCCAAATAGACATACTGTTCCAGAGAAGATCTGGGTTTCATTTGCATGCTTGGCATCCTTCTGCCTCTGAAATGAAGTACTTGGATGCTTCTGCAAGCATCTCTCAGAAGTAACCTGTGTTGGTTTCATTTCCAATGTCTCATGTTTATGCTTTGCTGGTCACGTCCCACTGTTTACTAAACAATTTATGATAATTCCACCTTTATTACAGTTTTCGCGACAGAACCGTTTGGCGGCACACATCACTCTGTACCAGAACTCCCCATGGGGAGTAAGTCAGGTGCTAATCCTGCCACTGCATGATCCCCCACTGTGCTGCACCAGCCAAGGAAATCAGGGCCAGCGACTACCACTTCCACACAGAACAGCAGGTCCTGAGGTGGGGACAGGTGGAGTTTGCTTTAAAACTAAGAATGATAAAGAATAAAGGAAAGTGGACAAAGGGCATAGAGAACGAAGAGGGTACCACCCGATAGCAACTTTTCAAATCATCCAAAGCCCATGGATTCAGGTCAGGAAGGTGGTTACGTTCAGCTGGTCCGAAGACACTGAGTTGGTAACAAGGAAGGAAGTTACAGGCTGCTCTGAGTGGAGACCCCAGGTCTAATCTCAGCTCCGCTAGTTAAGTGACCTCAGGCAAGTTACTTGTCTGAAGCTGTTTCTGGAACCATAAAAGAAACCTATGATCAAGTTCATGCACTTGTGCACACACACACAAGTGCTTAGTGTGCTGTTGGCACTCAGTGAGTTCAATAAATGAAAGCTACCATCATCACCACCACCACCACAATCATCACCATCATCTCCACCACCACCATCACCATCATCACCACCACTACCACCATCATCACCACCACCACCATTACCATCACCACCACCACCATAATCACCACCACCACCACCACCACCACCATAATCACCACCACCACCACCACCACCACCATCATCACCACCACCATCACCATCATCACCACCACCGTCACCACCACCACCACCACCACCATCATCATCATCACCATCACCACCACCACCATTATCCTCATCATTACCAACACCATCATCATCATCATCATCATCAAATGTAAGTTTCCATGAAGTCAATGATTTTCATCTATGTTTGGTCACTGCCAAACCCCATCAGTACCTAGCACTTAATAGGTACTCAGCAAATATTTGATGATTTGTTAAAGCAAAACTAAAAATACTTTCCAGAATCAGGATGTTTGCTGTCACCAAGTCCACAATTTCCTAACACCTAAAATGGCACCTCACAGCCTTGGTAAGAGGCCATATTGTCCATTTGAAAATAACTGTTGTTAAAAAACTTATATGCTGTTCTGTTTTTCATTATTCACACAGATAACAACAACTATAATTATCTTTAAAACTGAATCAACACATCTGCCTTGACATCTTTTCACTGCTTTTGAAGACATTATAGCTTTTACTTTCAATGTGTATACAAGGCAAACAATCAAAGAAGGCCCTGATGTGTGTGCTTCACTCGAAGTTAAACAACCATGTAGCTAAATGATAACAGATAACTGCCTCTATTTGTAATCTTTCTCTCAAAATATAAATGCTATCAACTTGTATAAGCCAAAGGAAAACCACGGTTGTGCGACAGGATCTTGGCGCATTGTGAATTTCCAAAAGCAGCACCTGTTACCTTTGCAGAATGCTCCATGGTGACCACCACCTTGGTTTTGGCACTGGACACGAGATCCATCGCACCTCCCATCCCTTTCACCATCTTGCCCTGTAAAATGGAAACAGAAAATAAGAAGTAATTCTCTGTCTTCCACTTCTTTAGTATGTGGCAGAACAAAATTCACTGGTAAGAAGAAGCCACTGGCACAATTAATGAGAAAAAATAAATCATTAATCTTCATTGCTTAGTACTTGAAGGTTAACAACCTTAATATTCTGTTATTCTATGGTTAAAGGATAAGCTCAAGATTAACACAACAAAGTCATTTATGAAGTGTGGCTAACAATAGCAATAAGACAATCAGATAAGAAAAATCTTAAGAGCCTTCATAGAATTCTGGCCTATTGCTATTCTTATAATAACATGAGATTGAAATCCACTTGCCCGTAATATCCATTTCTTTCATGTTAAACACAGAATTGTCACTACCAAGTCTTCAATGACCGACCCTTTCTAAAGCAGCCCCTTGGATTTTCTGCAGAATAAAATGCCGTTTGGTAGCAGCCTGAGGCATTCATGGTGTCTCCCTAGCAATGATTCATATGAAAGGGGTGGGGTCTGTCTTTTTAAAACTTGACATTCATCTTGCTCTTAACCAAACAAACCAAAACAAAATGAAAAACATATTCCTGTTCAGCCAAAACAGAACCATAGCAGAGCTCAGGCTCCTTCCGCCATCACCGTTCCAATCCTGCTCATCTGTCCACGTCCTCATTCATTCCACAGAGAGCAACGCCCGGTGCGCCACACCTGAACAGCCCCACTGTCTAGTCCATCTCTTGTCTGCAGAGTTTTGGACAAAGCAAGTGTTTTAGGAGATGATGAAATAAATTCTCACGCAAGTACATGGAGGAGAATGTCTTCTAATGTTGAAACCTCCTTCACATTTCATTTATTTTTTAATCCAAGTCCTCTTGCTGATTTGAGAGTAAACTCCTACAGGGTTCTCAGCTCCTTCCCCACAATTTCGTAGCTGTAAGGAGACAGAACAATGCGCCTCCACCTGGTTTTAGAGCACTCTGGAATCCCCTGGCTTCAGAAATATTTTAGAAGTCATTGCAACATGGCATGAACATGAATTGGATGTGTAGCATGAAGGGGAGAAGCGAGCCGTCGGGATGTTCTCGTGGTTGGAGCCCACGCTGCACGAGATGGGCAGCAGCTGGCCAGGTGTGGGGGGCGGGAAGCAGGAAAGGAGAGTAAGGTACAAAACGAATCTGTCTTCAGGCACGTCCGTCTGAAGTGACGCAGAAGGACTGTGGAAATGTGTCACTCTATCCTTCCACGAGCAGTGTCTGCATCCCCAGGCAGCGGCAATTTTACCAAGTGGGCACCAGGTTATATATTTCTGTGGGCACCACGGATACCTCATGGTATGAAATATGGGTAAGTCAGAAAGGGAAGCAATAAATGTTTAGCATAAATTCCAATACTAAGGAAATCTGAAAATTTTAACACATGAAACACAACAGCAAGTCCATTTTCAGATGTCTGCACCTGCTGTGGTAAGAACAACGCCAGTCTCAGTAGGCTGGGCTGGGTCCTTGGGCGGGCTCTTAGGGTGTTAGTGCTAGAACAATGGAGAAGCCAAAAAAACCCAGAAAACTGAGCTAGTGTGTTAAAAAGTCCTTGAATAAAAAATTTAAAAATGTTAAAAAAAAAAAAAAAGTATCTCTTGAATGAGAATATACCACAGGCAAATTCTGTCCACAGTAACACAATGATTACAGGTAAAAGCTCCTGACAGACCCGGACTGTGTTCAATTAGGGGAAGCTGAAGTATATATTTTAAATCGTTGTCAATTATTTCAGAACTATTTATAGAGCACCTACTGGGTACAAAGCACTAGCTGGCAGGTGTATAAAGAGCTCTAAAACCTGGTGGAAGAACCATCTTTTGTTTCTGTGAGAAAGAACATTCTCGCGTGGCCCAATGTAAATGAACGGCCTTCGTCACTCCAACTCGGATGAAGTGATGTCTCACCTGCAAAGCACACGTACCAATTTCAAAGCACTGTATTAATACTTAAATATCTTGTTTCCAGGAGTGAAAAATATGCAAGATTAGGTGCAAAACACCTGGCGTCCACTCTATTAACCCACTGGGTGATGCCGGCAAAATAACAAGTCTCTCTGAACTTGGGTTCATGATCCGTAAGTCAGGAATAAGAACATCTGCCCTATCACCCAGCTGCTGCGAGAGGGCATAAGATAACGCACAGAAAATCGTGTAGTAAATAAAGTTCATAACTGTGCTGACTTCAGTCTTCGAAGTCAGTCCAATTTACTGAATGTCCAGTAAGAGCCTGGCCCATACTAGGTCCTGGAGTAAGAGAGGATCAAACCAGACTTCTCTTCCCCATAAACCTTATTGTCTGAGGAAGGGAAAGTATTCGTGAGTAATTCAAGAGACTTGGATCAAATTTCCTTCCTCTAAAAGAAGCACACCCCATCTGTAACAAAAATAAATCAATAAAAATTGCAGAAAAAGAAAAATGAATGTACCTAAAGCCAAAGTAAATAAATAATAAAAGAGGCACACTCCACCTCTCCCTCACGTGCAAGGCACAGCTAAGTGCCTTTGCCCTGGGGCCTTGTGCTGTTCAGTATGTGAGTCTATCACAGCAAATTTCAACTTTTTCTCCTTCTATTTTTTAAATTTTTTTCCTTTATTGATTTTTTTAGAGAGAGAGAAAGGGAGAGGGAGAGAGAGATAGAAACAGCGATGAGAGAGAACATCGACTGGCCGCCTCCTGCATGCCCCCACTGGGGATCAGGCCCACAACCTGGGCGTGTTCCCTGATCGGGAATCGAACCCATGACCTCTTGGTGCCTGGGTCAACGCCCAACCACTGAGCCACACCGGTCGGACTCTCCTTTCTTTTCTTTTTCCTTTTTTGCATGGTACGTGCTTGGATGAATGAGCGGACAAACGGATCAAACAGACACGAGCACGGGCCAGTTCTGCAGCAGAGAGGATGCAGCCGCTGCGTCTGGGGAGCAGAGACCAGAGGGGCTCGGGGACCTCCCGGGGAGCGCTGCGTGGGAGCGGCCGCCAGCCGGGAAGGAGAACAGCGGCGCCGTCTCCCAGAGCCACTTCCCGAGAGTCATCAGGGAGCTTCACACGCTTGGTTTGCTGTTACTTTCTGTATGTTCATTATATTGGAAAAAGAAAATACAACATTTCCCTCCATTCTGATTCCCAAATGATTTCTGAAACAGAATCAATGACTAAAGGGAAACAATTCATTCTATCTATACCAGCAGGAAAAAAGCAAAACAGGGTTATTAAGACATACTCTCCATACAGACAACTACATATCAATAAATTGGACAATCTGAAAAAAAGGATAAATTCCTAAAAACAGACAATCTCCCAAACTTGAATCAAGAAACAGAAAGTCTGAACAAACTGATTACAACTAAAGAAATGGAAACAATAATCAAAAAACATCCAACAAACAAAAGTCCCAGACCTGATGGTTTTACAGGTGACTTTTACCAAACAAAGATGAACTAACACTATCTTTCTCAAACTGTTCTAAAGTATTCAAGAGGAGAGAATACTCCCAAGCTCATTTTTTGAGACTAGCATTATCCTAATTCCAAAACTAGATAAAGACGCTACAAACAAATAAAATATCCCTGATAAACAAACATAAATGAAATCCTCAAATATTAGCAAAACAAATCCAGTAATACAGTAAAGAGATCATATACTATGATCAAGTAAAATTTATTCCTGGGTTGCAAGGTTTGTACAATATATGCAAATCAATTGTGATTCACCACATAAACAAAATGAAGGATAAAAATCATATAATCATATCAATAGATGCAGAAAAAGATTTCTTTTTTTGTTAATCCTCACCTGAGGATATTTTTCCATCGATTTTTAGATAGAGTGGTAGGGAGGGAAGGAGAGAGAGAAACATCGATGTGAGAGAGACACATCAATGTGTTGCCTCCCACACAACCCTGACCAGGGCCAGGGATCAAACCTGCAACCCAGGTACATGCCCTCGACGGGGAATTGAACCCATGACTCTCTGATCTGATGGTTGATGCTCTAACCACTGAGAAAACCAGCCAGGGCCAGAAAAAGCTTTTGACAAAATCTAGCACCCAGTTATGATAAAAGCTCTCAGAAAATAGAATTGGAGGGAACATATCTCAACATAATAAAGGCCACATATGACAAATTGACAGCCAACATCATACTCAATGGGGAAAAACGAAAAGCATTTCCCTTAAGGTCAAGAACAAGACAGGGATGTGCACTTTCACCACTCTTACTGAACATAGTATGGAAGGTCCCAGCCACAGCAATCAGACAGAAAGAAGAAATAAAAGGCAACAGAATTGGAAAAGAAGAAGTAAAATTGTCATTACTTACAGATGGTATGGTACTGTATATAAAGGACCTTAATGATTCTACCAAAAAATATTCTGGAGCTGATCAATAAATTCAGTAAAGTATCAGGATACAAAATAAATATCTAGGAATTGGTTTCATTTTTATACACCAATAATGAACTATCAGAAAGAAAAACTAAGAAACAATCCCATTTACAACTGCATCAAATTATATATATATAATACCTAGAAAAAAATTTAACCAAGAAGGTAAAAGACCTGTACTCAAAAAAACCTCTAAGACATTGAAGAAGATAAAACTACATGGAAGCACATACCTTGTTCGTGGACAGGAAGAATTAACATCATTAAAATGTCCATACTACCCAAAGCAATCTATAGATGCAACACAATTCCTATCAAAATACCAATGGTGTAGTTCACAGAACTAGAACAAATAATCCAAAAATTTATATAAAAACACAATGACCCTGAATAGTCACAGCAACCTTGAGAAAAACAAAGTTGGAGGAATCATGCTATCTGATATCAAACCATACTTACTACAAGGCCACAGCAGTCAAAACAGCGTGGTACTGGCATAAAAACAGACACATAGATCAATGGAACAGAATAGAGGGCCCAGAAATAAACCCACACCTATATGGTCTATTGATATTCAACAAAGAAGG